TTTGTTATCTAAATCCTGTGTAGGTTTGTTTTGTTTATTTTCTGCTCACCGATCGCAGCTTTCACCTCCACTGGCTCTGATACTGGGGAGAATTGGCTGAGCCCTGCGGCGTTAACAGCCCTCACCCTGAACACGTACTGTTCTCCTGTCATCAATCCATGGCAGATGAACCTGCAAGACAGTATACCAGAGGTGAGTAGTAACAACTTACATTGACACAGTTACATTGACTTAGTAACTTCCATCCATCCATTTTCCATCACTGTTCTCACAAGAGGAGTCCCTAGGGCTACTGCTGCCTATCTCCAGTAGGAGGAAGCAGGAGTACCCAGAGAGAACCCTTGCATGCTCAGGGAGAGCATGCAAATTCTATGCAGAAAAACCCCGGCCGGAAATCGAACCTGCAACCTTCAGGCTGCAAGGCAGCAGTGCTACCCACTGTGTCACTGAGCAGCCCTGACTTAGGAACTTTTGGAAAAAATTTACTTTTAGAAGTAGTTTTACTGCATATTTTACTTGATTAAAAATATATCACCACTCAAGTAAAATTTCAGGCTGCTCCATCCATTGTGAATAACTTCACTTAATAAAGACAAGCTTATTTTGATCAAATATGCACCATTGAGACACAATTTCTTCTTATTGGTTCTCAAGGCTTATTGGTGGAATGATATTTTCCATCTGCTGAGTCTGCTGTGTCAGTAAGAGGTCGAGTGAAAATCTAGTAAATAGAATACTTTAATTTAACATTTTCTGTAACTATTGATTTAATTCTTATAATTCAATAGATGTTTTTTAAAGAGAGTTCATCAAACCTAAATATTTTCAAGTTTAATTAATATTTGTTATATATTTATATTTTATCCTATTCTTTGAAACACCAGACTTTGCATATCCGTAGCTTAATATGTGCTTTATTTTGCATATGTTTATAGTATATTGAATGAGTTGTTTTGGTCATAGGTAGTGTGTAGATCAGCATCTCAGTACTTAAGTAGGCTTTTAACCAAATACCTTTTTACTCTTAACTGAGTCATTTTTACTGTTTCCTTTTACTTGAGTAAAAATACCATAGTATTAATCTTACTTAAGTAACATTTTTTGAGTACTCTACCCATCTCTTCAGTATACATTCACCCAGTGACATTTACTTAAATGACTCTTTGGGCGGAAAAATATACTTCCAGAATAGTTTATTACAATGTATTTTTAGCTTTTTTCTTTAATGATATTATCATGAGGTATAGCTACTCTTAAATAAGTTAAATTCCTGGCTGCTCATCTTCAGTAACTTCAGTGAATGAACAACTGACTCTTTTTAAACAAAAATGTAGGACATACTAAAATGAGAATTCTTGTTACTACACAAACTTTGATGTTTTAATGTTATTTCTGATCTGCTGAGCACCAATGGTGGTTCTACATGAACTTTGCAATGGAAGCCAGTGTTTTTTCATGGGAGCAAAGACCAAAGAATAACAACAAACAAACAAAAAACAGAGCAGGAGTACATCATTACATTACTAAATAAGCCAGAAAGCCAAGATTTCAGATTCCTCCTGATCTATCAGATGTAAACCGTGATCCAATCTTCGAAGGACTGAAGCTTAATGATCACTCCAATTTTGAAATAACTGTTTAAGTAAATTGTAAAGGCAAAATATTAAAACTTACAAATTTAAAATGTATAGTGAATTACGGTCTCTTCTGTCTGCACAAACCATCATAATAAATTTATTGTCTATTGCACTAAAAACACTGATCTAAAAAAGTTAAATTTTCCTCAAATAAATGTATTTGTCCTTAATTTTATCAGGTATCTATGATGATCAGCAAAAGCAAGGAGTTTTTTTTTTTATTTTTTTTATTTTTTTTAAATAAGATAAATATTATGCACTTGAAACAAGTTAAAGGTATAGTGGAGGATATTCTTTTTCTGGGTTGATCATCAAAATAAGTGGTCCTCCTAACTGTCAATCTGTTATGGTTTTCCCCTTATGGGCTTTGAGTTTTGAGTTTCATTATCTAAGTAAATCTGTTTTGTTGATCTTGTGCTTATTTTCCATTTTTTGTTATATATAAGCAGTCTCTGCATTAGGGTCCTCAACCAACCTCCACCCTCACGTTGAAACAATCATTCTGTTGTTTACGTAAGGCCGTCCTACGTGCTCATCCCCATTTTCAGTTACCAGTGGTGAGTCTGACATAGTGGAAAAATTGCAAATCTTCTTTTGGAAAGTAAGCTTCTATGAACGATGCAAACAGCAACATTCGCTGACTCACGGAAGGTGTTCCCTTCCGTGAGTCAGTACAGGGTTGTGCATGTGCTTTTTTTTAAGTGCAGAGGGCAGGTCTTTTAAAGAATTTGCGTAAAATCCTCCACGATACCTTTAATGGAAGTTTCTTTTCTTTAATTTAAACATACATCACTAGATTCCATTAGCAAACTGTTTAACTTACCTGCTTAAATTAAGGGAAAATACAGTTATCCTAACAAAAAATGTGTTTGATTATATTTACATTTTTGTAGTGCATATTTTCAGTACAGGGTCTATAACATGGGCCAGGATCTAGTTCTACACTGGCCCTTGTTGGCCCCTGTCTAGAATCACCTATGCTGAGCTGGGTGCAGTTCTGGAGGTCCAAACAGTATCGACATTGGAGGTGCTTTACCCTTTTTTAAAATATAAATTATCTACTGGATCTATTGATTTCATAAGGTTTACTGTGTGTTGAAAGATTTGATTTCTTCTACCTGTTATCTTTTTTCCACATTTTTCATTTGCATTAACTTTTTTTTACTTCATTAATCATGATAAAAGAGTCTTTTCAAAAGTTTGCAAAAATCCTCCACTTCATCTTTAAATCTTGTCACCAGTTACACAGTTAAGTAGCCTTTTACGTGACACATTTTTACTCTTATAATAATGATTTATTAAATGGTAACTTTTTACTTTTACATTAGTAGAAATGTCCTGAAGAATGCTACTATTACTTGAGCATACTTTTGGAGGTACTTTATTTACTTCTGTTCATAACGGACTCAAAATTCTATCTATTTAAACAAAATAAGGGAAAGAGATGTAATTTTACCTTGTTCCTCTAACAGGCTTGTTGTTGCATGGCTCCCACACATCACTCCCAACGATGCTGCACTCAATGTAGTACCCCACCAAGTCTTTGGCATCCTTGGACGCTTCCCAGCTCACCACTACAGATGTGTCCGTGTTTCTGGTGGGAACAACTTTTCCTGGAGCAGATGGGATATCTGTGGATGAGAGCATCTGGTGTTTTTGGAACGCAGAAGTTAGGATTATTTTACATGATAATATGCCTTAGTTTTAAACAACCTGCTTTTAATAAGTTTGAGATATGGAGGAATTAAGAATCATATAGTTTGAATGTTTAGGTATGGTAGGTAGGATGTTCAAGGTATTTCTTTGGCTTCATGATTTTAGTCACAGTAATAAAATATTTTACTTTTGGGAGCCAACAATTAAGCTTTCACAAAAAAAAACAAAAAAAAAACAGTATCCTATCCTAAACCCAAACACTGGTTTCATACTGTTTAGATAAAAAGACAGATGAAGGTGTCTATGAAGGCAGCAGATTGTGTTTTCAGCACCACAGCGGTGTGAAAAGCAACATACAGGAAGAGTTTTGTTGTTTCCTAATAAAATACGAAATAATAATTATGTCATGAATAATGCCTTACATCTCAGTAAGTTTTTTATTTTTTTTTACTGGTGATGCAAAAATGCTGCTGAAAAACAATTTAAATGTGGGAAAGACGTACCTCTCACGTTTAGGGGGAATTTGTGCACTAACTGTCAAGGCAAAAGTGAAAAATATTTTAATTCCAATTTAATGATTGGAGTCTAAAATACAGGTTATATACTTTATTGTAATGCCAATAAAGGCTTTTAAACTGATTACTGAGATGGGTGTAGATTTTTATCAACATTCCTCCTTTTGGTAAATTTAAAAGAACTTCATGTGTCAATAACATTTAGAGATATTTTTTTCTTGTTAAATTAAGGTCTAAATATTCCTGAGGCATGACAATTTTTTTTTATCTAACTTTTATTTGGAAGTGATGCATTACAAATATCTAAAAAAGCAAAACTACAAATAGCTTGCTATGAATTCAACTATTATTCAGGGGAGTGTATGACTATCATGCCAGGAGCCAATGTTGAGCATATAAAAGGTCTTTGTGATTATATAACTTGACAGAAAATAATCTTTGGAGCTTTGCTTGCAAAGTCTTGCATATCACTGTGTCTTCTAACCAAGCTTGTCGCCCACTGTGATGGCTTCAGTTGGCTCAGATGGTTCGCCGACACCAGCAGAATTGCAGCAACGGACACGGAACAGGTAAGACTTTCCCTCAGCCAGATCAAACAGGGCGAAGCGAGGAGACTTTACAGGGATCTCAGTGTTTACCCTCTGCCAGGTATCTGAGCCCGAGACACACTAACAAGGAAATGTGAGAGTCAAAACAGATTTAAAAAAAAAAAGGAATAAAAAAAAATATAAATTTCACACTATTCACCTTCTCCACATAGTACATGACCCCTTCAAGGCCCTTCTCTCCTGGGGGCTTCCAGCTCAGGACCACATAGTTTTTGGTTGCCTCTGTTACTTGCAATTCAAGGGGTTTTCCAGGTACGACGCCCTCTGGAGGTAAAATGAGGGATTGTAAAGACCCCAAACCTCAGGTAGCAACAAAAAGAAAAAAAAACAAAAAGACGATTATAGCCTATATCCAGTACTTACCTGCAGGCTCCTCCTCAGTTACAATGATCTGGCCAGTCCAGGGTGCAGAAGTTCCTAACAAAAAAAAAACATGAATAAGATCAGCAGAGCAAAGTTTAGATGTTTATCATTTACTAATTTTTATTTATCTTCTTTTTCACAATCTTCTACCTTTTCATTTAAAATTGAGATAAGGCATACCTTTCCATAATTTACCTTGACAGATTTTACTTTAATAGGATTATAATTCTATATTAGTTTAGGTCTTATACCAAAGACTTATCATACACATATTGAAGCTATTTGTCCCGGCTTTAGTACCTCTCATGCGGGCACGATCAGCCGGGTCCATGGCAGCCACTGGCTCGGAGACCCGAGACGGGCGGCTGATCCCACTCTTGTTGACAGCTCTGACTCGGAAGATATAAGATCGACCCTCCACCAAACCAGTGACGGGAAAACGTGCAAACTTGACCGGAGTATCATTGCACTGAATCCAATGAGTGGTTCCAACCTCACATCTGTTCATAACAACACAACCACAGAATATTTAACTGGATATACAATATAGATTTACTTAAATTAATAAATCAGCATCATTAATCGGCCTTAAGGATACAATTGTACAGGACTGTATAACCATTGTTTTACACCCATTATTAAGATGCTTTGATGTTGTGTCCTTTCACATGTTTTAGGGTGAATATAAACCAACTGCTATTGAATTATGTAGGACCATGGAATAAATCCAATTTCTTAAATCTTCTGTGTTATTTTTTTTCCTAATGTTTTTTGGGATTTTTCAAATATGCCACACCACAAAGGCAAGTTATTACTATAACTTTTCCTTAGATTTGATATGTTTATGATGTGCTCTTGTTAGTAATTTGTACCAAGTCAATAAGCTTTGTTGCTGGTACTACTGGGTTTCAGTGTTGCTTTACAGGACTATCAGTATAAATGTAAACATTGCTAATCTGTGCAAAAATGTTGTGAATATATATATATATATATATAATATATATATATTTCCCTTGGCCAGGGACATCAGTTAACACTTTGGACCTTTATTTTATTTTATTTTTTTTGCTTTTTCTGTTCTCTACAGTGAGATTATCAGATCTTCACTCCTGATACCTAATGTCTACAAATTATTGTTTGCTTTGGCCAACAAGCTAAATAATATATGGTATTAAGACGGATGTAGAAAAACACATGGGAAAGAAGAAGCTTCACTTCCCAGAAAGATAACTAAGCTAAAGATATGGCCAATGCTACAACAGATGATTAAGGAAAAAGAACATATCTGTTTTAAAATGGCCTTGCTAAAGTCAAAAACTAAAGCTTGAAAATTGCTGTACACATAGGTACTTTTATACTTATCTGTTTAAAGACTACCAGCTGTAACTATGGTCACATTATGGAAATGCTATCTTGGAGTGACAAAAAGAAACACTTGTTTTTTATTAGAGATAAACATTTCACGCCTCTCTATAGAAACTATTGGCGACTAAAACATGTGAAACATGTGAAACATGTTGTACGATAAGTTAAAGTAACCGATCTGACTCGTTAGTTTCTTACTAACCTGTCAACAAAGTAGCCCAGAATGGAGTTTCCTCCCTCAACAGCTGGTTGCTTCCAGGAGACAATAATGTAATCCTTGTTAGCATCCAGACAGTGCACATCCAGAGGGGCTCCAGGAGCACCTTCTACCTCTGCATCCGCATCTAAGCACACAACATACACAAGATAATCATTTTAATGCTTTATTTAGCATTTATTAGTTCTCATTTGGCTAAAAAAGTGAACTAATTAGGCCTTCACACAACATTTGACTACTATGATATATAGCATAAGGAGACTATAGCTGAAAAACAACAAAGAGAGAAGTCTTAAGGTTGTTTTCTGTGCACAAAGCACCAACAGAGAAATTCAGATTTTGTTGAAAACTTGCTTTTCTATAAACAGCTTCTTGAAAACCAGAAGTGATCAGTACTCGAGTAAAGTAGGGATGAGGATTGGATGGCGTCCCACTTCTTAAAAAAATCTTAAAAATCATCCCTCTTCTTAAATGACCATCCCTCCATACCATCCCCTGTGACATTTTGTTGTTGAATGTGGCTATCGTTTCGACTATATATTAACAATAATGGCAATAATATTGCCCTTTCAACAAATGTTGTAGAGGCAATGTTGTACTATGTGCGGGCAGTGATAGCCATGCCAGTCAAGGGACTGACTGCAGTTCTACTATAAGGTGCCTTGCTCAAGGTCAATGACCGGCGTACCTGACATCTAACAACCATACCATGCATATTGCCTTAGGTTAATAGACGATATTAATTGTATGGTAATGGTATGGCAAGGAATGGTTTCAAACAAAACAGAAATCCACCATCTCCCTTCAATTTTTTTTTACAAATAGACTACCGTACTGGAAGTTATCAATTCCCATTAATTACACAGAGAAATAATAGTTTTAACATTTTCTTTTGTAAATATCTTGGGTTTAAAATACAAACACTTGATCCTCAAATATGGCCATTAACTTACACGATTGTTAGCAATCTAAAGTTAAAAGAAGCTCATTCCAGGGCATCAGCTAAAGTTCATTCACGGACATGACAAGAAACAACAGTTGTACGCAGTTACTTAAAATGCTGAAACTATGCATGTTTGGGGGCTTCTTTGTGTTCAAAGGGAAAAGCTAGCTGAAAAAAAAAAAAAAAGGTGTAAGATGTGTTTAATTTTTATTATTAATCAGTGGAAAAATACCTTATAAGGCAATGCGATATCTAGTATCCAAGCTAATGCATTGTTCTTGCTCTCTGGAAGCCTTTATTTATCTCACTGCACTTAAAGCCAGACCCATTCCATTAGTAAAGCCCCTTAGAATAGCACAACTGCAGCCAGGATTAGGATGTTTTTATCACAGAGCCCACACCTAGCCTCTCCTTTTTCTGGGTTGCCATGAGTTACAAAAATGGAAATATAAAAATCGATTTTCTAGCCTATTTACACTCAACATGGCTTTTGTGTGGATGCTCTAACCACATTTGACTGGTTGTCTCTAAAGTCTCTAAAGATAAGCTCTACTGACCCATTTTTCCATGGCATTCAAAGGCATGCCAGAGACTTGACGCTCAGTGGTGGCCCCATTAGAGATATCCTATTTTAAACCACTGGCTGACATTCCGAACCTGATAAATAAACATTGTTTTATCAGGTGCCAGGCTGCCTGCTGCTGTGACAGTGACCTTGATCGCATGAGACACAAACAAAGGCAAGGGACCCCATTTTAGTTCAGCTTGGATTACAATTATAGCATATGGGTTATGTTTGTAAAGATCTACTTCGACTTTAAGTCATACATGGTGGATCATTACACTGAATTGAAAAAGTAACACCAGATCTTTTTTATTGAAGGTTCTTACCTTTGACAAACACATAGGCAGAGTAAGTTTCATAACCAGACTTGGTGGCGACACGCAGAGTATAGAGACCCTCATCTTCCTTGTTAAGGTGGGTAAGTGTCAGTGTGGCTCGGTCCCCACTCCAGTGCATGTGGGTCCATTTAGATGAAGACAAAAGCACATCTAAAAGACACAGCAAGGAAGGTGGTGGTAATATTTATAGTACAAAATCGACTAGATATCAGTTAGAAAGAGGTATAAAGGGGTTGAATGTAGTACTAAGTGTGTACCCACCATCTCTGTACCACTGAATTTCTGGCTGGTAGCGGTGGAGAGCAGGGTAGATGATCACTGTGCAGCCCAGACTCATGGTCTCTCCTTCTCTTCCGAACGATACTCCAAATGTATCGACGATATGAATCTGGAACGTGATGCCGTACTCAGAAACAGGGCCAACTAGAGGCAAATAAGATTGAAAATTTGGGGTGACATAATGACAAGAAATGAGACTGCAATCAAGTAAAATGCAGAACAGTGTAGGGTAGATTAAATAGTACATCATTACATTAACTGATTTGAGGAGCAGTCTCTTAATTAGGTAGTTTCACTAAATATCTTGGACCTAATTTTTGTATAGAATGCACATTTTGCCCATAGACCTCTGCATGAGTAGTTCTGAAACTCCTCTCACTGCATCAAATAAGATTTCACAAACAAAACTAAAACTACCAATTTTTGGTTGGAACATGCACCATCTCTAGGCCCTTTACACATATAGAGATCTATATTATTTTGGAATAGAGATTGGGAAGAAACATCCACACCTCCTTTTCTCATTACACTTTGTAAAGTGTAAGATTTTCAAGCTGCAGCTCAAATCCAAACCTGTTGTCACTGCACCAAACTTCCAAAACAGGTCAAGTTTATATTTGTATTTTTTGTTTTTACAGAAAAAACAGACTTCTTATAAGTGCTAAAGCTGCTTCCTGTTGTTAACTAGAAAGAAGAGGTTAAGGAGTGAAACAAGAGGATTAGACTTATTGTGAGGTGTCATCATTCGATCAACAGGACAGAAAATGTAAAACCAAGGAAGTAAATTCACACTTACGTCTGGGCGCTGGCAGCATTTCATCAATTTCACCTTTGAACCCTGTGGAGGAAAGCAGTAGGTGCTATAAATATATACAGTATACATGACCCAGTATTGTATGACAGTCAGGATGAACTGAATGTACTGTATTTTAAGAAATCTCTTGGAGCATTTTATTTAATGTATTAAATGTTTTGTACTTTCAATTATTGCTCTTAAACATTTTTTTTATGAGTGTACTTTGGAGGTTTTGGGAGTGCTGAGCTTCGGGGAAACCTACGTTTGACAACGACAGAGGCAAACGCAGACTGCTCTCCTTGGGAGTTCATGGCAGAGACACGATACTGGGCCGTGTCATCAAAATCACATCTGCAAGGTGAGACCGTTAATTAATCAGTGTCCATAATATGTTTATATCAATGAGGGATTCATAAGTTTGGTTCCCTCCACCTTCTTTAATTCCAGCCTCAGCCTTCATAACTATGTATACATGTTACCAGCTATGTGGGCCCCAAGCCATAAAGCATCCCATAAATCTGAGCCAGAGATACCCTGGCAATAACTAGACACCACTGGTGATGTCATTTCCATCCAGTGCATTCAAGCTCTGTACTTGAAAGTATGTGTTGAGTGAAGTACAGCAGAAACTTAATCTGATACTGACGGACACAGAATATGGAGGAAAAGCATCCTGCTTTGTGAGTTTACCTGTTTTCTTATGAGGCTAGTGAGATAGATAAGCAAGAAGACAACTACTGTAGTTAGATCAGTAATGTGTTTAAGATTTCTCATTTCCAATCAGCAAAATCAACTAGAGGGCTAGAAGTTTTTATCAAAAACCTAAAATCAGTTTCCAACATGGTTGCCTTAGAAACAAAAAGAAGCAATAACTTCAGTAAAATGCTAATCCTCCTGTTAAATCAGGCTCCCACTTAAATTAGCACACCTTGGGTTTCTTATTTAATCTGTAGAAAATGTTAGGTCACCCTACCTTCCTCTGTAAACATAAGTGACACCCTCCTCAGGCTAATACTGTATAACGTTAGTTAGATGCCTCTCGGTCAAAATCTGTTAGTACGGTATTTGAGATCACTTTGAGAAATGTTTACTCTCCCCCCCTAATCTTCCGCAGTGGGATAACTGCATGGTTCCTTACATGTAACCTCAATCTGAAATCATTGCACAGCATCCTAATAAGATGAAGATCTGGGAACTTGTATGACTTGCGTCATTTTTCATGTTCCAATGTCCATTTCCTTTTTCCAGTTTAAAAGAGTTTATCTTACATTTTCCCTTCAGCAAAACCATGACACTTCCACTTTTGTGTTTTACAATATATGGGGTTATTTTCATGTAACACTGTTTCTGATTTCTGTCAAACATGTCCTTTGTCATAGTGTGCAAATAATTTAGTTTGACACTCATCCAACCAAAAAACAATGTTCTAGCTGTCGTGTTATTTGTTCTCAGTCTGACCTTTCTGTATTTTTTGTAATTGCACATATCAAATAAAAATACTAGTGCAGCCTATTTCTTATTGTAAAGGTATAAACATTGTTATCAATATTAGCAAGAGCCTCCTGCAGGTCGAATCATGCTTTTTAAGATGTCAGAGACTTCTTTTACCATCTTGGCGTCTGTTCAAGAGGTAAGCTTGCTTGGATGGTCAGACCTGGGTATATTGGTATGCGTTTTAATCTCCACAAATTATAGAACAATTAACAGTATAATGGTACAGTTCACACACCTTATACCTTCTAGCTTAGAAGGCATTTCTGAGCCTATCTGGTTTTAATTAAAAATCTCTTCCTGCTTATTTTGAATGGCAAGTAAATGTTCTCATCACAAGCAACTGATATGATATGCTTGAGTTTTATTTTAGATATTTAAGTGAGAGTAACTGATTTATTCCACAGGAGAAATCACTATTTTTAAACCACAGTTAACAGTAATTTCTTACAGTTTATTTTAGATTTTATTGTTAGGGTATATTAACCCGTTCACATTTGCTAAAACTTACTGGCTCGTCAAGCCTCTTGGGAAAAAATCTGTTTAAATCGCAATAGAGCAGTCATGGGATTTCAGAGATGATAATATAGCTATTCACTTGATATTAGTTATACAATAATCAAATGTATTTATTTTTTATGGGTGGGTAGGGGCGGGTTTCACTTACTTGTTGATCTCCAGTGAGTGCACATTGTATCTGCTCTCCAGTTTAAATTTGCCAGGACTGGAAAGTGGGTCAATGGCCACATTGTTTTTGTACCTTAGAGTCAGGAAAGAAAACTTTAAAAGATTTTAAGGGAATTATAGAGATGCCAGGAAACCCTGGACTAATTTGACGTTAAGTTCTAGTTGATTTATGTCCATAGCTTACCAGATGACCCTGGGGTCAGGCCAACCGCTGACAGTGCAGTGCAGCCGCACACACTGCTTCTCCCACACAGTGTGGGAACGAGGTTTAATCACAAACTCCGGGGCGTGCATCAGGCTGTCTTCGTTCATCCGCTTGAAGTGTTCCCCGTGCTCATGGATCTAAATATAGTGGAGTGAAAGCATTCAGGTCAATTTCACCTTTGGCACCACTAAAAGTTTAAACCAAAAACAACAATCCAAGAATAAAGCAGACAATTCACATTTCATACGCAAACAATGCAAATTCTTCACTTACTTTAATTTTAGATGCACATGCAAGCAACGCCACAGTGGAATGTGTTTCAAGAATGATTGCATGTTTTTTATTATATCCTAATAATAGCTGGACGTTTGGGGCTGAGGGCCGGCCAGCTCATAGTAAGACAAATCCACAGGGACACTGCTTCCTTCTATCTGAAGAAAACTTATCTCCTTAAGAATTTATCACCCCACTAGTGAGGCTGCCGGGTGGAGTGGAGACAAATAAAGGCTCAGTGTGTGGTAAGTGTGGTGTCTGTAATGCTCGTTAAATGGACCAGCTACTACTTCACATAATCACTCACATATATAAATAACTTCCTTGTGTAAAAGGATGTAAGAAAATCTTATCCAAAATACTTCACATTCCTACCCACTGCCACAAGCAACTGTGACCCAGGCGATTGTGCAAAGAACATAATTAGTGGTGAAAAGTCGCAAATTTCTCCTCAATAGGGAAAACAAATGGTAAACATCTCCAGATTTTGGGGTATTCTACATCAAATAAACAGCTTTTTATCACCTCTTACTAGCATAACCTTGGTATCGATTTAAAAAACAGGTTCTTATGCTCAATATATTGTTGCAAAAGGTTTTAGAATAATATGAAGTACCGGTAAGCAAAATAATTTTAACACTTTTAGTGCTCTAAGCTGATCAGTTATGAGGTGAGATTGAGTTAAATGAACCCTCTCCAACTATTTAACATCACTAGGTGAGTTGAATTGTCATTAGCAAAGACAGTACATCTGCACTAATTTAGTAACAGTATGTCCATATTACATATCTGTGGTATATCTACAGCTATAATCAAATGTTTACATACAGTGTACAGTGTATATATATATATATATATATATATATATATATATATATATAT